TAATGTGTAAGGAACGTAAGGATGCCCGATCGTTTGATGGAAATTAAAATTATCAACCTACAGAAGACTGAATTCAAAGGCACCCCAAAAGTCAAAGTGAAAAAATGACGCAGCAGGCTAATCCATTTTGCTGAAATTTCATTGCAGCAACTCAGAATGGTACGCAGTAGTTTGTATGGCCTCCACGTGCTTGTATGCATGCCTGACAACATCGGGGCATGCTCCTAATGAGATGAGGGATGACGTTCTGGGGTATTTGCTTCCAGATCTGGACCAGAGTATCACTGAGCTCCTGGAAAGTCTGAGGTGCAACCTGGCGGTGTCGGATGGACTGAAACATGATATCCCAGAGGTGTTCTATTGGATTTAGATCAGGTAAGCATGGGGGTCATTCAATGGTATCAATTCCTTCATCCTCCAGGAACTGCCTGCATACTCTCACCACATGAGGCCGGGCATTGTCATGCACCAGGGGAGCCCAGGACCCACTGCACCAGTGTAGGGTTTGACAATGGGTCCAAGGATTTCATCTGATACGTATGGCAATCAGGGTGCCATTGTCTAGTCTGTGGAGGTCTGTGCATCCCTTCATGGATATGCCCCCCCAGACCATCACGGACTCGCCACCAAAACAGTCATGCTGAACGATGTTACAGGCAGCATAATGTTCTCCACGGCTTCTCCAGACCCTTTCACGTCTGTCACATGTGCTAAAGATAAACCTGCTCTCATGTGTGAAAAGCACAGGGTGCCAGTGGTGGATCTGCCAATTCTAGTGTTCAATGACAAATGCTAATTGAGCTCTATGGTGCCGGGCAGTAAGCACAGGGCCCACTAGAGGATGTCGGGCCCTCAGGCCACCCTCGTGAAATCTGTTTCTGATTGTTTGGTCAGAGACATTCATACCAGTGTCCTGCTGGAGGTCATTTTGTAGGGCTCTGGCATTGCTCATCTTGTTCCTCCTTGCACAAAGGAGCAGATACCGGACCTGTTGATGGGTTAAGGACCTTCTACAGCCCTGTCCAGCTCTCCTAGAGTAACTGCCTGTCTCCTGGAATCTCCTCTATGCTCTTGAGACTGTGCTGGGAGACACAGTAAACCTTCTGGCAATGGCATGTATTGATGTGCCATCCTGGAGGAGTTGGACTGCCTGTGCAACCTCTGTAGGGTCCAGGTATCTCCTCATGCTACTTGTAATGACATTGACCCTAGCCAAATACAAAACTAGTGTAAAACAGTCAGAAAAGATGAGTAGGGAAAAATGTCAGTGGCCTCCACCTGTAAAAGCAGTCCTGTTTTGGGGATCATCTCATCGTTGCCCATCTAGTGCACCTGTTGTTAATTTCATTAACACCAAAGCAGCTGAAACTGATTAACAACCCCCTCTGCTACTTAACTGACCCGATCAATATTACAGAAGTTTAATTGACTTGATGCAAAACTCTGATTAAAAAGTGTTCCTTTAATTTTTTTTAGCAGTGTATATATGTGATTCTGCCAGCCAGCCTGCACTGCAGCAGTAAAACAACAGTGTGCGGTCAGCAAGTGGTTTTAAAGTGGTTGTAAACCCTTACATATACCTAGTGAAGTGACTGGCCTCAGATGATACACAGAGATTACACAAATCCTCCTACACAAGCTGTACCTGTTTATCTACAGTCTTCTCTTCTATACATCTGTTCAAAGTCCATTTATTTTCAATGCTTGTGTGCTAGTTCAGAAAAAATGGGAACAATTTTGAAATTACACTCTGCAGAGCTCAGTGAGGAGAGCTCTGTTAGCTGATTGGAGGGAAGGGACAAAAACCCGCTCCACACAGCTCACAGGAAAAGAGTAGAGGCTGTCAATCAGCTACAGCTCCCTCCACATAATTTTCTCTTAGCGTCAGGAAAACTTATCAGAAGTGGTTCATGCTGATAACAGAGGAATAAAGCAGCAAACAGAAATGACACTTAGCATTCTTAATTGAGACAAGGGATATGCTTTCTTCATACTGTATTTCATATCTGAGGGGGGAAGAAGAGAGAGAGGGGGAAGAAGAGAGAGAGGGGGGAGGAAGAGAGGGGGGAAGAAGGGGGGGAGAAGAGAGAGAGAGAGGTGGGAAGAAGAGAGAGAGGAGGGGAGAAGAGAGAGGGGGTGAAGAGAGAGAGGGGGGGAGAGAGGGGGGGGTGGAGTGAGAGGGGGAGGAGAGAGGGGGGGAAGAGAGGGGGGGGAAGAGAGAGAGAGGGGGGAAGAGAGAGAGGGAGACTCTATTTGACAAGTGATGGAGCACTCATCTAGGGTCTGTGGTGCCTGCACTGATACCTGACATGCAGTGATGGTCTCCTCTCCTGTACCCCCTCTTCATGGTCAGCTGACCTCTAGGCTCCGCCCTCCGGACCTATGCAGTGAATGGAATAGACGGCCAACTGGCTACAGAGAGGCCAGGAGGGCGGAGCATAGCTGCAATGGTCAGTCCGGACCTGGGCTTCCTGCTGGATCTTAACAAAGTCAGTGGGTGCAGCAGGGAATCAGCGCTCCGGGAAGGCACAGAAAGGGGAAGACAGCCGGCTTGCCATTAATTCAGGATGGAATAAGCCGAGCCCATCTTTCCTGCTCAAGACTTGCTGAGCCCGCCCCCCTGCCTAAACCCTGCCTTCCGCCTGAGCCTGCCTCCCGCCCAAGCCATGCCAAGCTCTCCCGACCTGCCAAGCCCTGGTCCCTTGTCCCTTCTGCCTGGGGGCAGATACATCCCTGGGTGTCACCCCGTGCGATTGGTGTCACCCGGTGTGGCTCGCACCCCCTGCACCCACCTAGGGACGCCATTGCTAGTGGGTACTGTAAATTTCTGGTGAAATGGCTGGAGAAGCCCTAGGGACCACAGAACTACTACATAGTGGCTGCCACAGCAGAACAGGAAAAACAGCTCACCCTGCCTTTTCCCCACTGGGCCACACTCCTTCTTGGATCCCATAGCAGCCATGTTGCGGTAGTTACCAAAGACCTGTGCCCTAGGCAGATTTTCTGGTTACAACTCCCTTCCCCAAGCCACCTTTCTCACTTTCAGTGCTAATAACATACTGTATTTCAGTAATAGTAAAACAGTAATATAGTCATGTTTTCATCTCAGGAAACATTTTTTGTGTATATTGCAGTGTTATAAGCTCCCTGACTATATTATTCCCCTATATTGCAAAGTCTACCATGCACATTACAATATGATTGTACCATTTCCTTTTAATTTACTAACAATTGCGTAGATTTATTTCCTCCTAATTGGTTATAATCTGTTTGAGTTGTTCAGGTAGTCCCGGGCAAGCCTGTACAATGTTTCATTCTAGTTTTTGATGGAGTAGGGAAGCCTCTCTAACAATGTACTACTATCTGAGGCTGTTAGAGAGATTTCCCCTGGCTTCCAGTTCTGGTGACACAGCTTTACCAAAAAAAAAAAAAGAAGTGAGGGAAACTGTCCAACAGCAACACAGACAGAAGTAAAAAGGTTTTTTTTTTAATTTAAGTGGGGGAAGGCTACAAACCCTGACAACTCTTTATTGTCTGTTTCTCTGCTGCATTCTTCTGTCTGGTAAAAAAAGATGTCACTAGGCTCCATTAGAGGGGAGATCTTTCTTAAAGAGCCCTGTAAAGTAGTAAAACCTGACAGGGATTCTAACGTTTGCCCATTCCATCTTAAACTAGAAAAAATGGCTATAGATATCCTTTAAAGCCCAACTCCAGCCAAAACAAAATATTCCCATTCAGTGGGGCTGTGCCAGCACTGCATGGGTTAACTACTTGCTTTTTAGAGAGGAGAGGGAAGATATACTTACGTGATTCTCCGATCCTCCCAGCATAAGACCGCCACCCCTGCGCTCCAGCGGTCTTGAATAGTGGACTGTTCCTGACATCATCATGCTCAGAGCAGGCTCCATAGACCAGGAACAGTCCACTGCTGGGGGAGCGCCATTTTCTGGAGGATCAAAGGATCGGGTGAGTATAAGCTTTTTGTTCACCCCTAAACAAAACAAACAGTTGACCCCTGCAGTGCTTTAAGGCAAAGCAAGCACTATTACCTTGTAAAGTTTAACAGTTTCAGGGACCGATATACAGTACACATTACCAGAAATGGATGTTACAAGGGACACCCATTGCCACATTTTCAGGAGGAGTGGATGGTGGTAAGTTGGGAACTAGCACATAACTAATGAATGGGATTTCTGTAAAAGTGCATGTCCAGCCAAAACTATTTTCATAGTTTTGCTTAGAGGGGGATGAATTTACTGTTTTTTTACTGCTATTTGAGATTACTGTTATCTAATCTTTTGGTGGTGAAGGATCAGAATGTTACAGCTACCTGGGGCTGAATTAGAGAGATTTACCTTCACTTCCTGTCCTGCTAACATTTTACTATTTACCTATTCATTTTATTTAATACAGGTCCTTATATAGTGCCATCAATCTATGCAGTGCTTTACATATCTATCTATCTATCTATCTATCTATCTATCTATCTATCTATCTATCTATCTATCTATCTCATCAGTCCCTGCTCCTCAAGGAGCTTACAAGCTAAGGTCCCTAACTCACATTCATACATACACATGCTAGACAGGAAATGAGGGGAACTCCCAAATAGCGCCAGAAACATAAAAAAAAAATGCTTTTCTTTAACCACAAGCCTACAGGGCACTTATACCCCCTTCCTGCCCAGGCCAATTTCCAGCTTTCAGCGCTTTCGCATTTTGAGTGACAATTGCGCGGTCCTGCAACATTGTACCCATATGACATTTTTATAATTTTTTGGTGACAGATAGAGCTTTATTTTGGTGGTATTTAATCACCTCTGGGTTTTTTTATTTTTTCTTAAACAAACCAAAAACCACTGCAAATTTTGAAAAAAAAATGTTTTTTCTTAGTTTTTTGTTATAAAATTTTGTAAATAAGTGATTTTTCTCCTTCATGATGTGCGCTAATGAGACTGCAGTGATGGGCACTGATAGGCTGCACTGATGGACACTGATATGTGGCACTGATGGGCACTGATGAGGAGGCACTGGTAGGTGGCACTGATGGGCATTGACAGGCATCACTGATGGGCACTGAAAGGCAGCACTGATACATGGCACTGATAGGCATTGATAGGTGGCACTGGCACTGATGGGTGACACTGAAAGGCAGCTCAGATGTGCACTGATATGTGGCATTGATGTCCACTGGTAGGCACTGATATGTGGCATTGATGTGGCACTGATGGACACTGACAGGTGGCACTACTGGGGCTACACTGGGGCACACTGATCATCAGTGCCCTGACATCTGATCATGTCCCTCCACAGAAAGCCGATTACCGGCTCTCCTCTTGAGCTGTCAGCGTGACAGCTCGAGAGGAGAGAAATGCCGATAACCAGCATTTCCCTGTTTACATGTGATCAGCTGTGATTGGACACAGCTGATCACATGACTGAAGCGCACCGCCGATCGCTATGCGCTCCCTGAGCCGCGCATGCGCGGTGAGAATGGGAGGACATCATATGACGTCCTCCCAGAACGAGAGAACCACCTTGCATCCATCATATTACTATATGGCGAGCGGGAGGTGGTTAATTGAATAGGAGAAGATTGGAGCCTCTGTCATATTTTTATTTTATTTCTGCTTTTGTCCTTGTTGCAGCTTCCTCACTTTCAATCTAGTGAAGCTGCTGTCAGCAGAACAGGAAGTGGGGGTAAATTACTAATGGAGCGCCAGATAGCAGTAGATTTTAATTAAATCCTTCACCACTAAAAGATTTTTATTCTAACATACAAGCAAGTATATTTTAATGGAGATTGGGGATTGATGTTAATGGGAACAACATGAAGTACAAAAAGGCAAAGGTAATGAAAGCAGCAAGTGGAGGACACCACTGGAATAACTTGAATGGTTCTCTGATTTCTTTATAAATTTACTAGTCCCCTATTGGTATATCAGTGAAATTATGGATTAGTAAAAAAAAACTACATAATGTAAAATAATCATTTTTTATACTTTATATTCATGGTACCTAGCTTCTCCTGCTGCTAATCATTTTCTTTCATGTTGTTTGGCGGAGCATTTAAATTGACCAGCATCATATGCCTTAGTTCCCAAGAGATTAGGGGAAAACATACAGTGCTTTGAAAAAGTATTCATACCCCTTGAAATTTTCCACATTTTGTCATGTTACAACCAAAAATGTAAATGTATTTTATTGGGATTTTATGTGATAGACCAACACAAAGTGGCAAATAATTGTGAAGTGGAAGGAAAATGATAAATGGTTTTCAAAATTTTTTACAAATAAATATCTGAAACATGTGGTGTGCATTTGTATTCAGCTCCCTTTACTTTGATACCCCTAACAAAAATCTAGTGGAACCAATTGCCTTCAGAAGTCACCTAATTAGTAAATAGACTCCACCTGTGTGTAATCTGTCATTTAATCTCAGCATAAATACAGCTGTTCTATGAAGCCTTCAGAGGTTTGTTAGAGAATATTAGTGAACAAACAGCATCATGAAGGCCAAGGAACACACCAGACAGGCCAGGGATAAAGTTGTGGAGAAGTTTAAAGCAGGTTTAGGTTTTAACAAACATATCCTAAACTTTGAACATCTCATGGAGTACTGATCAATTCATCATTTAAAAATGGAAGAAGTATAGCACAACTGCAAACCTACCAAGACATTGCTGTCCACCTACAGTGCATCCAGAAAGTATTCACAGCGCTTAAATTTGCCACATTTTGTTATGTTACAGCCTTATTTCAAAATGGATTAAATTCATTTTTTTTCCTCAACATTCTACAAACAATACCCCATAATGACAATGTAAATAATGCTAATCAAAGCCCCTATCACTAAATAAAATGGTTAGCATAGAGTCCTGTTTACACATTGCTTTTGCTTTGCTTCAAAAATTATACCTTATGTGGCTTTCCTGGTGCTTCAAAGCATCTCTGAAGCCTCCATAGAGGTCTTTGACAAAGCTTGCTTGCAGCACCTGCAGCTTTTGAGAAGTTTTTTATTCAGCATTAGCTTTGGTTTGTTTTGGAGGTATTAAAAGTATGAGATATCCCAAGAAGCATTGGTAAACCAAAAAGCAAACCTTTCAATCCAGATTTAAAGCTAATAAAGCCACTGATGAACTTTTAATTTTAAAATATGTGTACTACTGAGAAAATAAATACTTGGAATAAATTATGTATATATATATATATATAAAAGTCTATTTATTATGTCTGTGTATTCTGCTTCCCTTTTCTCTGGATAACAGATTATGCTTTCAAAAGTAATGTAACATATATTTCTAGCTCAGGCACTATAGTTAAACATTTGTGGGCACCTGACCATAATATCTAGATTAGCTTTTTAGACATCCCATTCCAAATCATAGGCTTGTTGGGAGTACTACTGAGCAGGTGATCTGCTGAACAAGGGCACTAATAAGCTGGGGATCTGCTGAATAAGGGTACCAATGAGCTGGAGATTTGCTGAACAGGAGTACTAATGAGCTGGGGATCTGCTGATTGAGGGTACTACTGAGCTGGGGTTCCCCTTTAATACAAATAGAAAATCAACACACACAGAAGACATTTTCAAAGCTTCACTAAAGCTTCAAAAAGCATCACCAAAGTATCACCAAAGCATCAAAAACAAAATAAAATAAGCATATTGAAGCGGTAGGCACTGTGTGTTGAACTCAAAACAAGTCTAAATGAGCCCTAAAAGAGCCTTCTTCTCACAGGCCACAAATGAAAGGAGCACTTTTCCCACTGGCCACCAATGAATTCATTTTATCAGATGTTCTCTCAGACCTGGAAATTATTTTTAGGGGTTCCTCTGGGGTCAAAAAGCTTTCAAAGACTTTTGGCAGCGGGCTTAGAGGGGGGCCAATAAGGGGAATTTTGGATAAGACAACCCCTTCATTATAAAAGGGGGGACACAGGACAGTCGTAGCTTCAGTGAATTGGAAGTTGTAGCTGCATTTCACAGCAAAGTGGTTTAAACCACCACAATTGCCTTATTAACCCATTAATATCTCAGATCTGCTGTATGTTTTACCATCAGAGAAGATTGGAGCCATGGTTGATACCTAGGCTGGACATGTCCATCTCCACTACATTAGGGCTGATGGGATTGATACGAGGGGCGCCCAAGTCAAATTTAATTTCCCAGGTATAAAAAGGGATGCAAGTGTAGAGGTACTACATGCAATAGTAAAAAAAAAAAAAAAAGATTAAAAAGGCTGCTTTAAAAGCTGGGACTTTCGCCACTTTGCTGTTTTTTCAAAACAATATAACGGGAACAAACAAATTTATTCTAAATGCTATCTCTCACCTCCCGCTCATAAAAACGGAAATCAATAGTAGTAGTAGTTTTTTATTTGGAAGAACAATCCATAGAGCTCTGATATACTGTAGTTTCTGAGAGCTATATCCTCTTAACACTTTAGGAAATATCTGAAAGTCATAGGACACTTGGCTTGCTAATGGTCACTTACCTTTTCAAGCTAAAGTACGTAGTATGTCATATGCAAAAAATTCTCACTTGGTAATTGCCATGGATTAGAGGCAGTAAGCTGCTTGGTGTGGTGCTGGGGTGTACGCCAACCAACTAACAAGTCAATAGTGCAGTAATGAGCCTTGGTCTTGAATTCCCATTTGTTGATGTGATAGCAACTTTGGTAGAGCTCAGTAATAGCTACGGAAATGTGACCCGAGTTTTTTTATAACCATTCATCTTGAGACACTGAAATATGAATTCATTTATTCTGTTTCCAATGAACATATTACTGTTTACATGTAACATAATTATTGCAGCATTTTATATTTAATGATTTTAAAACATGTTAATTAGCAAATAGAGTGTTCCTATTCGCTTTCAATCAGCATTATTTTAAAACCTTATACTGCTAGCATTAGTAAATAGATAGGAAAGTATATCATATTTACTTAAACAAAATATGAAATTGTGCCAAGTCTATGACTATCAGTAATAAAAAAGGTACCACATCCCAAAAACTGTACTAAAGAAAAAAGCAAGAGAAGAATGAGACTCTCTGCAACACCATTAGGATAAAAATGTTTTTATGTTTTTTGGGTATGTATACATAGCCTATGTTATATGAATGGCCTTGTTTATGTTTACATGTGGTGTTTATCCACGTGTTTTTTGTCCTAGACCATTTCCAACCCCCTGATGAAGGCTCATTAAGAGCTGAAATGCATTGAGGTTTCAAGGTCTCAAAATCCATCTAAAAACTTATCAACAGATCAGGGGCAGACTGACAACTTATGGGGCCCCCGGGCAATAGGGGATCATGGGGCCCCTGTGTCCTTGCCCAAACTCAAAAAAGCCTATGAAAATGGTACCAGGGGCATCTCATGGGGCCCCCTACTGACCCCGGGCCCTCAGGCAGTGCCCGAGTTTCCAAATGGTCAGTCCATCCCTGCAACAGATGGAACACAATCAACTCACCTATGCAGTCATAATCTAGTTCATACTATTATATATGTTATATATTATTTGTAATCTTGTCCAATACAAATTGTACCTTTTTATATTATATTTACTTGTTTTAATATTTTTTAACATTTCTTCAGTTAATTCCTGGTTTTTGGCCTAGCCCAAAATGATGTCATACATCCCAGGAGTCTTCATGAACATTTAACTTTTCTTTCATCTGGAGGAGGGGAAGAGAGGCTTTCTCAGCTAACAAGAAAAAGAGGGGAAGGTGCCTCTAAGTGCAGTATTAACAATTTATTAGTAGACAATGGAAAATTTGCACTTACAAGATAAACGGTTAAAAAGACTCATTGTGTGGTGATTGGATCCAGGTGGGACATCCAGCCGTCCGGCAGCAAGCTATAGGATCAGGAAGTAGAGTCCAGGATGTGCCTGTGTATCAAAAATGAAGCTTGGAGAGCAGAGTCAGATGTAGCAGGTGAAAGGGGCGGTAATGCATTTCGGAGCAAGCTCAATAGGCTCTCAAGTAGGAACCTATTGAGCATGCTCCGAAATGCATTACCGCCTTCCTCTCTTTTTCTTGTTACTGCATTAGAACCTTGCTTCCACTCTAAGAAGAGCTGCCTCAGTGTTACTGCTTCCATCCATCCATCCCTGATTTCCATCTGGCACCTTTATCTTACAGCTACAGAGGTTGGGCTCCAACAAGCGCGCCCTATATAATATACCGTACATTTTCTCAGCTAAGCACACCCTCCTGCATGCATGCCTGAGCTAAGGGCAGATGGATTCCATGTAGTAAGTGTTACATGAATCATGGTCCCTTACTCAAGATGTCTACAGCTAAATGTGCTTGGGTGGTGGGGGTGGGGGGAGGGGTGTTTTTCAAAGTGATTTCTTAGCCAAACAAAGCATGGAGACATGGCTGAATAGGTGAGTTTGCTTTGAACAATAAAAATGAAATAAAAAGGGTCATCAGTTTGTTGTGCTCTGATAGCACATGTGCTCAGTTCAGTTCCCCTTTAAGATTTTTTTAATCCTTAAA